CCCAATTAAGTTCTAGTGATAACTTTACCTGTTGGCCTCTCGGATTCTGTACAATTAAATTCTGCAGACAAAATAGAAAATGCTTTAGACACACCTTCACGTGCGTTCTTCGTCGGATAAACAGCGGCTGCCACATGCAGTCATGCGCAGTCCATGGATGACATAGAGACTTTTAAATTTGCAAAATCTATGACGACGACGTCAACCAGAATTATAAACTCATCCACAGAGAAGACAGACTTTAGAGTACATTTGGTATGACTGTGAAAGGCTCACGGCACGAACACGGTCGTGACACGGCAAGGGATATGCCAGACCAATCACATTGCGCGAGAATTTACTCTCCATCCAATCAAATACCCGGAACACGGCATGAACATGGCGCGGACACGGCCACACCAAGGTCATGGCAATACCAGACCAATCACATTGCGCGAAAAAAAAATCAGCCACAAATAAATTCTAGAAAAGAACTCGGTGACTGCACGGCAGGGTTACGCTACCGAGGTTTTCACAGTCATACGAAACCTGCTCTAAATGCGCGAAACCAAAAAGTGAAGTTATTTATCTTCCGGCTGACGTCGCCGTCGTAGATGTTGCAAATCAGTCTCTCTCGTTTCAATATTTTCAAGAAGGGGGCGAAAACGAGAGAGACTGTGGACGAGTAATTTGGTTCCCAAAGCACGCCGGGTCCAAGTTTTCGGGACCCATAAGTCTTTTCGGTCACTGTACCGTTACAGTCTCTAAGCGTGGAGCATCTTTGTTTTGCCCCCCTGGGAGAGCCATAACGCCTAGCGATTCAAGATGGCCGCAGCATTTTTAGGATAYAACACTCACTTGGACAAAGACCACATGATTTTCTACAATTGGTTACCATCCAAGAGCTTGTGCAGTCATCTCCTCCATCTATTGTTCCCTTACATGTTACTGTATTAAATAAATCCTTACACTTTCCTACGTAAAAAAAAACACGAGAAAAGTACGAGTTACTCTCGCAGCYAGAGTTACAGGCATCGATGTTATTCAGTAAATCATTCATGCAATCGTTCGTTTAGTTTGTACGTTACGTTCGTTCGTTCTTTCGTCCGTTTGTCCGTCCATCCGTGCATTCATTTACCACAAGTCGGTCGGTCACTCGTTCGGTTTCTCAGTCGGTCGGTCGTTCGGACGGTCATTCGGTCGGTCGTTCGGATGGTCAGTCTGTCGGTCGGTCGTTCAACTGTTTACCTTGTACACTAAGAGAGAAATGTAAAGCTTCTAACTGATTTCTTTGACATGAAATATTTCCATTTTCAGCGGGCGTCACACTGATCAAGTACAACACACTATGGTAACTTGCATTCTCTATGACAAGCTTTGGACCTGAATAAGATCCATGAACAACAACTAAAATATTTATAATACAAATGACTCAGAATACATAAAAACATTGCCTTCAATGTATCATACCCTGTGGATGCATAAGCACAACGTACTCTGTTTGTCTTTTATATTATCGAGAAAAA